AGAATTACAGTTTTTAACTAACCACCCAAAAAATATGCAAATGGGTATTGTGCTTTCGAGTGAAATTTCGTGTTGTGGCGTGGTTTCTCGTTGGAATTTAAATCGATTTGATTGGCTACCTCAGATGAGCTCAAAATTATTAGCCAATCAAAACCTTCTCAATGAAATTCAACCAATCAGATCGATTGTGGATCGGTTTGGTCGGCGCGATTCGATTGCACCCCCTCCCCAAATTTGTATCAAATTGACAATATATAAAGACTTTTCTTAAAATGGTGCATCTTAAATTGGACCGCTTGTTTTAAGCTGTTTGTGGACAAAGTGGTGTGAATGATAATGAATTCTAACATATCGCATTCATAACTCCCGAATAGTACCCTTTTACGAACGGTTTGAGCCGTTTTACGAACTCTTTTGCCCGGATATACATAGGATTTACGAACTAAACGAATACGTAAGTGGTCACTATCAGAGTGGTGTCACTGGAGCAACCTTGTTCTTTGTATATCGGAAATATATTCGAAAAATATACACCTTTTACGAACTCTTATGAACTTCTTTATTCGGATGAATTAAAGTTCCATTTGCGGTGTGACGATGGGCAGGACCAAGCGCAAACATGATGAGGATGATTCCGAAGCAGTTGCAGGAGACCGTGTTGTCGTCTTATGGCTAGTCAATGACACAAGAACCCAGTATGCGTACATAATAGAACGCTTCAAGCGATGGCTGCTCAGCGAACACCCAGAGTTCGTTGTCGATTCCGTCGTCCAATAAAGTACCTTTACAAGGAAGCGAACATCAAGATGCACGACGAACTGGAAGCTAGACTCAAAGGTACGATCCTTGTAATTGTATTTAATTAACAGTTATGCACGTTCGAGTAGATTTTGCAAACGGATAGAAGCGTCACATTGCCCAGCTTAGAGAAGACGGTGAAATGCCAATCGGGGAGGGCAAATTGCCCATGACGGTAGATGGTATCTATATTTTGCATGAATAACTATTACTCAGCGTCTCATGTTCTGGACATTTTGAATTTATTATTAGGTTATGCGTATTTGGCCAAAGCAGCACTGTCAGCGCGGAGGGACCACTTTCTTGCCGTCAACGCTCACACGTTTCTCCTTTTTTGCTGGAATTTAATGGCTCGTTCAGTATCTACAGCATCAATACGTTTTGACAATGTCACATGGCAAGGTATTTATTTAATTAGGTGCGTGGATTAATATAGACCTAGGCGACGCGCTTTTAGTAAAATTCGGGAGAACGAAAAGCAACCAAGAGGGAGCTGCATTGTTTCCCAAGCACGTATACGCCAATCCCTTGTGTCTGTGGATCTGCCCAATCTTGAGGTTCCTACAGAACTTTCTGGATTGATTTCTATTTTATTAATTGCTGTGTACTTTATTAGCCTCGCAGTAATTGTATTCACGAGAAGCCTGCCAGTTGGCCAACGCACAACCTTGATCTTTGGGGTGAACGCGCAAATTCGGTTTTCGAAGTGGCTACTGAAAACGTGTGCCGTAAACGAAGCAGACATACTTGCCATGGGCATGGCAATATCTGAAATTGGCACCCATTCCTTCCGAAAAGGAGTGGCTACAGCATTGTCAAACACCCCTGGGTGGACCCCAGGCGGTATCCGTGTGGCTGCGTGCAGGTTGGACCCTGGGCAGTGTACAAGGACGGTACATTTTTGAAGGATCTGGTGGCGATCAATTCGTTGGTCGCGCAGCAACAGGTTGGTTATTATTACATGCTTTCGATTCGGTTCATTTATATGTCCAATTTTTATATTTTGCAGTGACATTATTATAAACCTCTCAAATAAAAAAATAAACGTTAGGCTTACCATTAACTTCCAACACATTCGCATCCTTGCCGCCGCATTTTTCTGGTCGTCCAGCACTCTCCTTGGGCGAGTGAGTGAGTGGGAATCAGTTCTGCCCGGCTATTCAATTGAGTACCCTGCGGGCTTTCGATGTGTGATGCCGTACTTGTTGGCATAGTTGGCGTATCATCGTGATTGGTTGAAGTCAACTTTGGACGCTAGCCATCCTATATTTTTGTCCCTAATTTGGCGGTCAGGGCTACTGAGCCATTTGTCAGCACGGGTGCATGGTGATGTCATGTTAAATGCAGCTACTGGAATGGTTGCAACTGGTGTACCCCCTCACGTTACCATGATGGACCGATTGAGCCGTTTGGAAAGTGGGCTCCAGGAGTTTCAGACAACAGTGTTTGATAATATCGACGCCATCCCGCAAAGTGTGGCCACTAAAATCCAAAATCAAGCAACGGACTCGGCCCCCGTCACATTTAAAATGATGAAAGAGTCATTCGCAGAACTACGGACTCAGCTCTTGGAGCATTTACAACCTATGCCAACGGATATCCTCGGAGAGGATTCCCTACGAAGTGTAACGACGTGCGCTCCTCAAGAACAAACTGTACCCGTGGGATTAACCTATACTGGGAAATTGATGTGTCCCAACAGCAAGTTGTTTGATTGGTGGGCTGCGTGGTGGTGCGAAAATTCTGCCGAGAACATTCCGCCGTTTTACAAATTGCGGCGAAAGGATTTTCCCGGATACAAGGACAAAGTCAACTTTTCCAAGGCAACAGTTGTGGTTGACCTCATTCTAACAACCTGTGACCTCAACCGCAGCGAGGTTTTTGCAATGACAGTTCATCAACGCAACGAGGTTTATCAAACTGCGATGACGTCGATTTGGTTAGCCATCGCAGCTGCAGGCAGTAATCGCGCAGCAAAACGACGTGTCAACGAGATATCCTACCACACTCTGTACGACTTGATAAAAAAGTACAACCTTAATAAATCATGATTTGGATCATTGTATTCTCTGCTTACGCTACACACCTCCAGCTCGGAAGTGGCGAATCCTTGATGGAGCTTGACACGCAGAAATGAAAGACTCTTGTTTTCCGCTGTGGGCATGCCTTAACATACATTTTGATCGCTACCTATCAGTGTATATGATTCAATCGCGATTCAGACAATATAATCAGAGCGTACATGCGGTAGTGACGTTGCACTGGTGTGTTTGGGTCGCACCAGGATCCATCGGCCGTCGCCGCGGTCGTTGGCCTGCCACAATGTGCATGCCCGGGAGACTGCTCGGTGCAATTGACCTACCTATGTATAAGATATATGAGTCATGCATGCAGTTATGCAGTCATCATCACTGTGTACCTCCCTGAGTGTTGAACAAGTGATTCGGGCGCGTTGTCGCCGCAAGTGCAGTCACCGTGATCGCTGGATAATTGTTTCTGCGACAAACTCATAAAAGTGAATATGTATTAATACTGAGAGGAGTTCGTGAATAGTTCGTAAACAGTCCAATATCAATGAATAGTACGAAGTATACGCTTATGGGCAACGCATGATGAGATTAATTGAGTTTGGATTATCATTTTACTGTAAAGTCTGCGAACATCCTGATTGGCTAAAACGTGAATTTTTCCGGATAACACAACCTCAAAAGCAGGGACGCCTGAGTTTTCGATAGAAATTAAGAAATATTTTTGATATATTTTCAAACTCCTCGAAAATAGTTCGGATAACATCCCTGCCTTAAACCATCCACGCTGATGATGAGGGGCTGGTCGCGGAATATAAAGTCCATGTCCGAAACTGAGACGTATCCGGACAAAATATTTTCGCAATCCAAAAAATGTCGATCAATACTTTTTCGTTTTTTATGAAAATGAGTCCCAGACATGAACGGGCGTCGATGGACCATCCACGCCTCAAAACTCGCATCCATGTCTGAGTTATTCCGGAAGCGTGAATGATTGTGTTATCCGGATAATTTGGGTACTAACCAATCAAAATCTCGGAATATCTTGAAACATGGACAGAAATATTCCCCGACCAGCCCCTCATCAGGCAAACGGTCGCACATCGTGTTCCCTGTGAATGCCGAGCCGACGCGTCGAGTTGGAAGGACTGCAACATGGTCGCTTTGACGGTGCCGACAGTGTGACAGCAGCACAAAAGTTGAATCCAACTCTACAGTTACAGTACAAGTGGAAAGTGACGTGGCTTGACGTTGCGACAAGACCAACGCATTCCAGCACAGCAAATGCTGGTGGCTGAGACGAACACTACATTACGAGCCAACACTGATTCCCTTCAGTGCAAATGCGTCCTAGCGCTGAATAAACTGGTAAACTGTCGTCGTAGCATCAGTGTGGTAAAATTGTTGCTTGATGATGAGAAGTAAATTCCTCCCACCATCTATTTATGCATATAAGCCCCTGCATCGTGAAAGATGAGGCAGTAAGTTGACACCAACGCATGAAAAGCGACCAATTTGACTAAGCCTTCGATCTCGCGAGCCGACATGGCGATTTCGGTAGGGATGGGGTTGTTCATGAAGGACGAAAAGTTCTTGTGATGCATTTTGAACTTGCGACAGTGAAGCTGTCCAAGGCTCGAAAGTAAGACTCCCACAGGGGTGCTGGCTAAGGAGAAGCAAGGGAACAAGAAGAGGACACTACGTTACGAAAGGATCGCACATCGTGTTCCCTGTGAATGCCGAGCCGACGCATCGAGTTGGAAGGACTGCAACATGGTCGCTTTCACGGTGCCGACACTGTGACAGCAGCACAAAAGTTGAATCCAACTGTACAGTTACAGTACAAGTGGAAAGTGACGTGGCTTGACGTTGCGACAAGACCAACGCATTCCAGCACAGCAAATGCTGGTGGCTGAGACGAACACTACATTACGAGCCAAGACTGATTCCCTTCAGTGCAAATGTGTCCTAGCGCTGAATAAACTGGTAAACTGTCGTCGTAGCATCAGTGCGGTAAAAT